GAAAGAGCAGAACTATCAGCGGGTATGTGGTTGGGCCAAGAGCTCCCAGGTGAGCTTCTTTCCAAAAGCCTTCCCGTGGCTCAGCCAGGAGGGGCACATGTGTGCGAGTCATTGTGAAACCCAAGGGACTGAACCGTCAGTGCTGCTTTGCAAGTCTAAACGCCGGGATGGGTATCACTAACTCGGGTCAGTAACCAAGGAGACAGGCTCTTGAGAGGCCATCATTGCTCTAAATCCCAGTTACACATACACAGTGACAGAGCAGGCACTGATACGAATCCCTGGGATATAATTTTCGTGGCTCCGGGTGCTTTTGGAGCCAGCTATTTTTTTTTTTAATGTTTTATTTTATTTTTGAGAGAGAGAGAGAGACAGCATGAGCAGGGGAGAGTCAAAGAGAGAGGGAGACCCAGAATCTGAAGCAGGCTCCAGGCTCTGAACTAGCTGTCAGCACAGAGTCCGACGCGGGGCTCAAACCCACAAACCTCAAGATCATGACCTGAGCCAAAGTTGGACATTCAACTGACTGAGCCACCCAGGCACCCCCAGAACCAGCTATTTCAAACTCCCTCATGTCCAGGAGCCAGGCTGGTCCCATGAATGAGTCTGTGACCATAAAGACTGTTACACATCTAGTCATCAGTGACCTCGGTTAATTGCCAAACCAGGGCAGCCTTGCAAATAGATATGCCGGCCCTGGCTTCGAGAAGAGAGCTAGAAGTCCAAGTGCTTTGATGTGAATTTTTCCTGGGTTTTAAATATTGGCAAAACACACGTATGTGCCCACAGCCAGCCCCTGGACCAGCAGTTGGCAACTTGTGCCCACAGTCCTCAAGGAGCAGCTGGGGAAGTCCTGGGCAGAGAGCTTAGAGCCAGTGCACTCCTGAGTCTGTAGGGCACTCTGTGACTGATGGGGTGACAGTGTAGCTACTTCGCCTCCACCCCAGGCTCCAGGAGAGGACCGGGGGAGGGCTGTACCTGACACGTGAGCAGACAGAGGTGGCTTTGTTTGTTTGAAGTAGGCTGCATGCCCACTGTGGGGCTTCAGCTCACAACCCCGAGAGTTGCATGCTCCACCAGCAGAGCCAGCCACGTGCCCCCAAGCAGACAGACTTACATGAGTGGGTTCCTGGAGATCATCTGGCTGGGGAGGTTGAGCACAGTCCCCAGGTGGGGTGTCCCTGGCTCTTTGCAGGCACTTGACTGGAACTTGGGCAAACTTGACAAAGAACCCGGGTTCTGGAGCAGCCTCTGCAAAGGGAAACCAGCGGTTAGAGTGGCGCCAAGTGGCACCCGGCAAAGTTAAGCTCCTCTTCCGCTCTCCCCTCCCACAGTGGCGAGAGGAGCGCTTCCGGCAGACCAGCGAGAGCACCAACCAGCGGGTGCTGTGGTGGTCCATTCTGCAGACCCTCATCCTCGTGGCCATCGGCGTCTGGCAGATGCGACACCTCAAGAGTTTCTTTGAAGCGAAGAAGCTGGTGTAGCCATCGCAGGCCTCACATGCCATCCTTCCTCCCAGGCTGGGGAAGAAAGGGCCTCCTGGAACTGATTTCTCTCTGGCAGGAGGACTGGTTCCGAGCCATGGATTTCTGGAGGGCAAGGGGCTACAGGCACCCCAGGCACAAGCTTAGGGCAGGAGCCTGGCTGGCTACTACTGAGCAGGTGGCAGGGTGATGCCTGCCCCCTCCCCTGGGCTCTAAGCCCTTTGCAGTAATCACCCAGGGTCTGGTGAAGCCCCTGGGAGCTCCACTGGCACCTCAGAATCACAGTGTTACTGATCAGGGATGTGAGGCTGTTGTCTGGGGTGGCTGGGGGGGGAGGGGAACGGGTGGGCAAGCCAGTCTTTTTTCTGTCTTCCTTTGCTAACTTTGGATTTTGAGCAGGTTGGGGTGTGGCTGTGACTCCCTGCCACCCTGGGAACCTCACTCTCACCTCCTTGGGCCTAGACCCAGAATGCTGATCTGGGGGTGTGTGTCACGGAGGGTGGGGTGGAAGGGGTTGCAGTGTGGGAAAGTAGCCCTGAGGTTGACCTCCGCTTCTCAACATGATTGTCCTTTGGGGGGGCTTGAGGAACTGAGGTCAGGCCAAGCAGAGGCCTTGGTGCTGGTTGGGGATGGGGCCTGCGAAGTCTTAGTTACTGATTTCATTTTCAACAAGTCTAGGTTTGTTACATTGGTTTCCCAATAAAAAAAAAAAAAAAAAAAAAAAAGCTTGTCCCGCGTAAAGTTACTGTGCTATCAGCGGCCGTAGCACTGAGATGCTCAGGGAACGTCTGTTCTTCCCACTATGCAAAGCACTTCACATCCCAAGATGAGTACCCGCCTGTGAGCTTCCTTCTTTCCCTCCTCTCTGTATCCCCCTGCGACAGGGGATAGTAGGTTTGCCCAGGAGCATAAAACAAGCGAGTAGTGGGGTTGGTGCCTGCTACCGCTGGCACTGCGGGCTTGGGAAGGACAGAAATCCCCGGGCTGGCAGGGATGAGGATGTGGATGGTCTTAAACAAAGGTATGGGATTTCAGCAAGGACCTTGAAGGAGAAGGATTGGGGTGTGCGAAGGCAGGGCAGGGGTGGTGGGAAGCACTGGCAGGTGGCTGGTACGGAGGTGGACGGGCACTGTTTCCGCTGGAGTTCAGGGAGGGGGATCGAGGAAGCTGTTAAGGGAGGTTGGTTAGAGTTAGAAGAGACTCGCATGTTACCCAGTGTGTGACACAGTTTGGGGTAGAAGAACCGAAGATAAACTTGAGGAAGGTGAATCCAGCACCGTGTGTGAGAAAGAGACAGGCTGGGGAGACCAGGCTGTGACTACTGGAACTAACAGGATGTGGTCTGACCTCATACTGCCTCCTAGACCTCTCCCACAGTGCACACAAACCTGTTTAGAACAGCCTTAGAGTTACAGAGAATCGTGATGTTAGTTTCCCCTATTATTAATGTCATGTACCAGTACGTTCAAATTAATGAAACAGTATTGATAACATTATTTAAGTTTTCTCTTTTTTTTTTAATGTTTTATTTATTTTTAGGAGAGAGAGAGAGAGACAGCGTGAGCAAGGGAGGGTCAGAGAGAGAGGGAGTCCCAGACTGAAACAGGCTCCAGGCTCTGAACTGGCAGTCAGCACAGAGCCTGACGCGGGGCTCGAACCCAAGAACCGTGAGATCATGACCCAAGCGAAAGTCGGACGCTTAACGGACTAAGCCACCCAGGCGCCCCTTAAGTTTTCTTTAAGAATCTCTACACCCCACATGGGGCTCAAACTCGTGACCCCAAGATCAAGAGTTGCACAGTCTCGAGCCAGCCAGCCTCCGAATACATTATTTTTAACTAAAGCCCATACAGTATGCAGATTTTCTTAGCTGTTGCCTCATGCCCTTTTTCTGTCCCAGGATCCAATCCAGGACAAGTTACATTTAGTCCCTCCTTGGCTGTGATGGTTTCTCAGACTTTCCTTGTTTCTAATTGCCTTGACAGTTTTTAGGAGTACTGCTCCGGCGTCTTGTAGAGTTTCCCTCAGTTGGGATCGGTCTGCTGTTTTTCTCATGTGAGCTGGAATTCCGAGTTTTTGAAAGACCAGAAAAGTGCCTTTCCATCCCATTATACCAAGGGTGCTTAGTATGAACATGACTGTGGGTGTCACTGTTTAAAATTAATTAGGACTTTTATGTGAAATCTGATTTCTTGAGACAAATCTGATGCTTGTGGGGCTTCATTGTGATGTGACAACAATTAGCTGGACTGAGGGCAGCTGTTCCCCATTAGAGGGGCTTGTGCTTTCAGGTCACAGTCCCACCTCCCTGCTTCCATTATTGGCCTCACCCAAGTGACTGGTCTCTGCAGGGGATCAGCCTTGCCTTTGTCACCAGCCAAACATGGGCTGGATTTGCCAAGGTTCTGTTCCAGAGGGCAGTGCAATGGCAAAGTTCAGCAGTGAGGTCCCTCGTCGGTTTTATGCTGCACTTAAGGGAGAAAGGGGGTGGCTGGGGATGATCAATTTCTCACCTACAGGCAAGTCCTATTGGACTTTTGGAAGCAAGGTGTTTGAGGCCATAGATTGTGCACAGTATCTTGGTTTACACCCTGAACTGCCTCTCTGTGTCTCCAGTTCCTCATTTTTAAAGTTGGCGTACTACCCATAAGGACTGGATGAGGGAACGGCGTTAAGGAACTTCAAACAATGACTGGCACATAGTAAGAACTCAGTATATGTTAGCTGTTTATGAGGGAACTTAACATTTGCCCAAAGAGCAGAGAAGACCAAGCCTAAGGACTCTGCTTCTGTCTTTTCCCAGGTGGAGGTTGGCCCAGCCAGGTAAGTTCCCACTGCGCCACGGCGGATCTAAGAACCCAATCTTACTCCCCCTTCCAACAACCCTATCCAAGTACCCCTCTCCTGTATAAGGGCCATCATATAGGTAGCGTTGCCTATGTGCCCAGCACTGTGCCAAGTATCCTTGCATGTTACTTTCTCCATCAACCCTCACAGCAACAGTGTAGCTCAGGAACTATTTATATACGCAAGTGAGGAAACAGATGCAGAGATTGTGCCTTGCCCCCAAACACAGCCGAGCTGGCAGAATCGGGTTTTGAATCCAGTCAGTCTGTCTCCAGTGCTTGGCTCCTAACCACTACGTGGGTTCTGGGCTGAACGCCAAGTCGGAGCCTTTAGCTTGGCCTTGCCACCCTCCGAGCTCGTTGCGGAGGAAGTATGCACCACCTGGGACCGAGAAGAGGGGGGGAAGGATGCAGATCATGCCAGAGGGCTGGAAACATGGAGTCTAAGTCCAGTACGCACCCAGTGACTTGAGCCCCCTCTGAGGCCTCGATTTCCCGGGAGAACCAGCGGGTCCCCGGGCGGATAGTGAACTGTCCCGAGATTGGAACGCCCAAGCTTTCCTCGCACGCGGAACCTTTAAAGCGGCGGCTCGAGGGAGCACACGGCGCGGCTGGAGCGGCGGACCCGGCGGACCGAGGGGCGGGGCGCACCGGCCGGGGCGGGGCGGGAGGCGGAGGCGCCGCGTAGGCCCGGGAGGCCGGGCCGGCCCGGCAGGGAGCTCGAGTCCCATGCGCCGCCACATCCCCCCACGATGTTCCCCTCCCGGAGGAAAGCGGCGCAGCTGCCCTGGGAGGACGGCAGGTGAGCGGCGGCGGCCGGCCCGGGCCCCGTCCTCCCGGGTGCCGATCCTTTCCGGGCCGCGCCGCGGAATCTAGGAGCCCGAGGCCGTCGCGTCCCCGGCTGCGGGGCTTTCGGAGGGTCTGTGGTTCTCCCTGTGGGTCACTGGCTCTCTCTGCATACGGGTCTCTGTCTCTACCAGTCTCCGTCACTCCGCGGGTCTGTGTTTCTCTGATGACGTCCCTTTGTGAGTTTCTGCCCCTCTCTTTGCGAGTCTCTGTCCCTCAGTGCGGGTCCCTTTGTGTCTGTGTTTCTCCGCTGGCATCTGCCTGCGTGCGGGTCTCTGCGTTGATCTCTCTCAGTGGATCTCTGTCTTTCTGTCTGCCCCCGGCCTCTGAGGGTCTTCATTCCTTTTCTCTGGCCTCTACTTCCCCCTTCACATCCATGTAGCCTCAGACCCCGTCCTCCTTCAGGCTTCCCCACCCTTTACTGACCGCCCAGAACACACCAGACAGAAGCTCTGTATGCTAGTCTGGCACGAACTAGGCACTCCTCACACGTAATGCTGCTTCATTTCCGGTGCAGCTGTACTTGAGTGGGACCTCCTGCATGTGTTAGGTGTGAACTTGAACCAGACCCTAGCTAATGATGTTTTCCACGAAAGCAGAATTGGGGTAGGGGAGCTATTCGGCTCTCTAGATTTGGGAGAACACCTACACTTCATTCGTGAGAGATGCCCCCAAAACTCTCCTCACCCGGAACAAACGCCCAGATAGTGGGTCTCCACCCAGTGAATATCAAGTGTCCCGTGTGTCTCTCAAGTTTGCCCAGGTGCCAAAAGATTCTGGAACGTAGTGGGCACAGCTCGTGTTTGGGGGATTTTTCAGACTTCGTGTTGAAGCAGGAAGACAGGAATGTAATAGAAAGAAAGCCTGGACAGTGTGGAATCAGCCCTGGGCAGGAATCCTCTTTAACAGCCATGTGACTAGGAAGGGATCGTTTAATCTTTCTGACCTCAGCTTTTCCATCTCTGAAGCAGGGATCATAATATTTACTCTGCAGGACTGTGTGAGGTTTAAAAGCCACATATGTAACACTCTTGACACTGCCTGGCACGCAGGAGGTGTCTCCAGTTACCTTGGCAGTTGGGAGGTGCTGTAACCAGAGCAGCTGATATTCAAACCTGTATCACTAAGATTTGTGTAAGGGAAGAAAGAAAAGGTAATAGAGGAGAATTTCCATTTCCTCATCCCTTTCTGTAAACCTTCAGAACATACCTGCGTTCCCAGAAGAAGTTACTGATGTCAGTTCCTGCTTTTGACATGGGGGTACAAAGACCCACGCAACACATGCAGGCTAGTGTAGCAGTTAAGAGTGCTGGCTCTGGAGCAGGCCCGGCTGGATTTGAATCTGCCTTTTCTAGCCCTGGGCGAAGAAGGCGCAGATTGATGGAGACAAACCTCACTCGGCCCCTCAGATCAGGGTGCCCTGGGCCTGGGAGCAGCTGGGGGCTGCAGTTCTGGAGTCTGCCACCAGGTGGCACCAGGAGTTTTCAGTGTCCACTGTCGCGAGGAATTGACATTTGGCTCTGAATTCAGTTGCTCAGCCATTTGGGCCCTTAAAGCCCAGGATAAGGTGGCCTATGAGAATGTGATCCTGCAAAGGGAAGCTGGGCTGAAGCAACAGCATGTGACAATGCACAGTATACCCAGTCCATGCCATACCAAGTGATGGTCACTGCCTCTTTCCCCGAAGGTGGGAGATCTCCTCATGTCCATATCCCCGGTCTCCACCCCACCCCCAGAAAGAGCCCTGGGGGCGAGAGAAAATCTGTGGAGGTTCCAGCCTTCCCAGGCCACTGGCAGGATTGGGCTCCGCTTCTCCCCAGCGGAAACCCCTACCACAGGACAATGGGGGGTAAGTCTTAGCTGGCCATCCCTCTGCTGTGTTTGAGCCCTGGCTTCAGGGTGGCTGGCTTCCAGGTTGGCAGTTGTGTGTAGAGAAAGTCAAGAGTTGGTCTGACTCTGGCATGTGACTCGAAGCATGCCCTGACTGCTTGAACCCTTCCTGTAACTCACCGAGCAAGCCCTTTGCTGTCTAAACTCTTCTGGGACCGCACAAAGGAATGGCTTCACTATGGGGAATGACCAGGAGGGACACAGGGATTACAGAACTCTTAAGTGCTTCAAAGAAGGAAGGATCAGATGCCCCGGAGAGAGCATTCATATCCATTTGTGTGCACGCTGAGGGTGGGCAGTGCTGGCCCTGACATTGGAGCTGAGGCAGAGGGACGTTGCCGGTTGTGACATGAGAGTTGGGCCCTGAAGGATGGGCAGAGGGAGTCTCAGACTGATGTGGCAGGCTGTATGAGGGCTGGAGCAGGAAGGAATATGGTAAGCGGCAAAGGTCTGGGTTACTCCATGTGTGGCACTGGGTGATGGGGGTGGGCAAGTGCAGGCAGAATGTATACTCCGGTAACTCCTAAGGGCTGTAAAGCAAGGTGCTTTGCAGGTTGTTTCTAGGGGAGTAGACTAGAGGGAGCTTCCCTTGTCTCAGGGTCTTCAGCTCCTTCGCTATCCTCAGCAGAGGAATCTGGTGAATTCCACCTCTCTAACCCAGACAGTGCTCTCTCTCACCACTACCTCGGTGTGCAGGCTATTCAAATGCGCTTCCAGCTTCTGAACGGAGCCTGGGTTCCATACCCAGCCCCCATCTTTCTCTCCCTCTCCCGTCTCTCCTCCCTTGTTATGTGGGCTGCCTCTCGGACTGGAGATTGGAGTCTCATTCAGTGAACAGCCACTGTCAGTTTGGGCCTTGGTGTGGTTTTGGAGGCAGGGTGGCTCTCCCCAAAGTAAACACTGGCCTTTCCCCGGGAACTGATGCCAGGCACCCTGCCTTGAGGACCCTTCCAGTGTGAGAAGCAGGAATGAAGTGAGGGCTTCCACTGGGGGTAAGCCTACAGAGGAGCAGGACTGGAAGGCATCTCTAAGGCGGGGCTCCTGCCTTCAGCTCAGGCTCAGACCCTCCAGCCATCGTCCTGGAGAGTGACAGGTACCAGAGACTAGGCGTCTCACCCCTGCCCTCCAGCAGCTCTTGGTCTGACCAGAACTCACTTAGAGAAAGTAAGAGGGCGTGAAGGAACTGGGGCAGCTCTGACCCTGGGGCCAGAGGGCTTCCTGGAGGTGGGGGTCTAGAGCCGTAAGCAGGAGGATCCTGATGTGTGGTAGCAGCATGAACAAAAGCGTTAACATTGCTTCCGCACTAATTGCCAGGCGCTTGGGGCAGACCAGTCGTGTGCGCCCTACCAGTGGGGAAGCCAGAGAAGGGGTTTGTCACAGGGCTCAGGCCCCACCCGCCCTTCTGACCCCACCCCTGCTCTTGTCACAGGTCCAGGCTGCTTCCTGGCAGCCTCCCCCGGAAATGCTCCGTCTTCCACCTCTTCGTTGCCTGTCTCTTACTGGGCTTCCTCTCCCTGCTCTGGCTGCAGCTGAGCTGCTCTGGCGACGTGGCTCAGGCGGCCCGGGGACAAGGCCAGGAGACCCCGGGCCCGCCCCGGGCCTGCCCCCCAGAGCCACCTCCCGAGCACTGGGAAGAAGATGCGTCCTGGGGCCCCCACCGCCTGGCAGTGCTGGTGCCCTTCCGTGAACGCTTCGAGGAGCTGCTGGTCTTTGTGCCCCACATGCACCGCTTCCTGAGCCGGAAGAAGATCCCGCACCACATCTATGTGCTCAACCAGGTGGACCACTTCAGGTAGGGACCGGCTTCTGCCTTGGCCCACCTCCCCAAGGCCTCCCCTTGCCCTGGCCCCTCAGTGGCTCCCTCTCCCACAGGTGTCCAGCGCCAGGTGCGCCTCTGGACTGTGGAAGGCCACCCAGTGCAGTGGCAGCAGGACGGGCACCGTAAACCCCTCTTGCTGGTGTCATGGGAGTTGGACGGGAGGGTCAGGGCTGAGGGGTGTCCTGGTGTGATGTCCATTTTGAAAAGGTCACCATGGCTGTGGTAGGAGAAATCACTTTTACCAGAACAGGAGACGGGGCGGGGGGAGACTTCCTGGGCTGCTGGGGGGAGGCCTCTTGGCTCTGGGGGACCAGGGGTGGAAAGACATTTCGGGGAGGAAGTGCAGACACAGCTTTCTGGTGGATTGGCTGTGGGGTCAGGGAAAGGCAAGGTCAAGGCCACGGCTTCGAAGTTGTTCGCCATCTGGTGTTATCTTGGGTTCTGTGCCCTTCACCATGCACTGCTTCCCTCCGTGAGCCAGTCCACACATGTCACGCTCTACCTCCACCTCCTTTCCCTCCACCTCGCTCCTCTGGGAGGCACATCCAAAGGTGCTTGGACCCCACCAGGCCCTTTAGGCCTCAGGACCCCCCAGGCTCCACCCTCCCTGCCCTCGCTTTCTCCTCACCCACCTTGGATTCACGGGCCATCATTAACATCAGTCCCTCTCGCACTTCTGGCCTCCCTGACCCACCGGCCGCTGGCTGTTCACACCTGCCCGCGGGTGGCTATCTGAGGCTGGAGCTGGCACGCGTCCCCCTGGCAATGAGCCCTGGCCCAAGAAGGCCCTCTGGCCCGCTGCCTCTCCTCTTCGGAGGCAGCCCGCCACCCTTTCCACCATCCCTCTCCTCCTCAGCCTGATGACTCAGCTCTCTGTTGGAGAAGTCAAACCAACTGGAAGAGAGTCCGCCCAAGTGCCCGGGAGCCTCTGTGCTCGCGGACTAGGCTCCCTCCATGCCGGACACCCTGCCCCAGCCCCTCCAGGCCCAGCTCGTCCAGTCTTGCTCTCCTACTCAAGGACCTCGCGTCAGCCATCCACTCCTGTCTCCCCCGCGTGATTGGTTTTTCCTCTGTCCTGGGGCATTCGCATCAGCAGACATACTGACATAGCTCCCATCTAAATATAGAGGCAAAAGCCCCCGTGACCTCCCATCACTCACCCCTGTCACCTCATTGCTCTGTGCCCCTCATAGCACAACTTTCATGTCTCCCCTCTTGCCCTCTCTAGAACCTGCTCACCCCCTTGCTGACGCTGAAGCAGCTCTCACTGACCCCCAGTGAGCCCGCCTCGTTAATCCGAGCCCTGTCCTCAGTCTGCCGCTGCTGGCGGCATCTGCCCAGTGGGCTACTTCTTCCTTCTGGAAACACCTCCGTTTGACTTCTGAGGCAGCACTCGGCTTTGCCTCCTTCCTCCCCTCTGCCACGTCCTTTGCCGGTTCTACCTCACCTCCCTGACTCCTCGACCCTGGTGCTTTTGGGGCTCAGTGCCCAGGCACCTTCTTTTCTGGCAGCAGTCACTCCCTGGGGATTTCATCCAGCCTCGTGGCCGAAACCCCTCTGTGCCCTGGCGACCCCTGAGTCTGTCTTCCGGGCCCAGACCACGATCCTGACCTCCAGCCCCGTGCGTAGCCCTCCGTCTGCTGGTCCCCGGCATCCCCAGCTGCACGTGGCCGAGGCTGACTCTGGCTTTCCACCCGCCCTCTTCCCTATTTCAGGAGATGGCAGCTCCTCGCTTCCGGTCTCCCAGGCCAAAAAGCCTCCGAGTCATTCTCACCTCCTCTTTCCCTCGGCGCATCCCATCCTTCGGATTATGTCTCCAATCTGCCCACTTCTCACCACCTCCCTGAGCTAAATCCCCACTGTCTCCCGCGCAGATGATTGTTGAAGCCTCCCGACCTGGCTCGCGGCCCCCACCCCTGAGCCTCCCTTCCCCTCTCAACACCCCTGCTAGAGTGATCGATCCTCTTAACCCGGGAGTCAGAGCATGTCCAGCTCCACTCTCAGCCCTGTAGGGGCCCCTGCGTAGTACCCATGGTCACAGCCCAAGCCTGTCAGGGGCCAGCCCTGCACTGGCCGCATCCCTGAAGCCCTCCTGCTCACCCTGCTCATTCCCCCAGGCCTTCACATGTCACCCCATTACCCTGGCCTCTCCCGGCCCCCCCAGCAGACTCCCCCCTCTTCACCCTGCTTTTCTGTCCTCCGAAGCCAATGCCAGTTGACTGGCTGCTTACATATTCACTTAGTGATTTCTGTCTCCTCTTATTAGAATGTCAGCTCCTTGCGGGCAGGGCTTTGATCTCTCTCTGCCGTGGTCCTGGTGGTGCCGGTGGTGTCTGGTCTGGCACATTGCAAGCACCCGGAAGACATTTGTGAGATGAGCTCCGGGCAGGTGGGCAGGCTGGCGGCCCGACAGGGAAGTCGGTGTCAGTGTCTGGTGGGAAGGCTGCACAGGTGCTGGGGGGTGGCCGCTGTAGAAGACAGGCTGTCACCCGGGGTTTGGGGAGCACGAGCTCACCACCCCCCAACCTGTGCAGGTTCAACCGGGCGGCGCTCATCAACGTGGGCTTCCTGGAGAGCAGCAACAGCACGGACTATATCGCCATGCACGACGTGGACCTGCTCCCCCTCAACGAGGAGCTGGACTACGGCTTCCCCGAGGCCGGGCCCTTCCACGTGGCCTCCCCGGAGCTGCACCCGCTCTACCACTACAAGACCTATGTGGGCGGCATCCTGCTGCTCTCCAAGCAGCACTACCAGCTGGTGAGGCCAGGGAGCGCGCGCCGGGCGGGGAGTGTGCATGGGCAGGAGGAGGGATGGTTCTGGGGCTCGTCAAGGGAGTCCAGGAGCAGGACCGAGCCTGTCAGGGAGGATTTGGCCCCAGGAACCACGCCCTCACCCCCTCTAACCGCCCCTCCCCCCCCGCCAGTGAGCTGGCTTTGGGGCTTCAGGAGACTTGGGGTTCGTTGGTTCTCAGTGGAACAGTCTGGGAGGGGCTGGGGGCAGGGCTGGCCTCAGGGTGGCTTGCCTGGCCTCTCAGGCAGCGTCACCGTCACCGGGGACACTGGTTTACCTTCCGTCTCTCAGCTTGGCTGTCCCTGGAGTGGGTTTGTTTTCGGTACTGTGAGGCACAAGGTGGCTGTCCTAACTGCACGCTGCGTGCACCCGGGCCCCACCCAGTTCAGTGGATGGTGAAGTCCCTTCCCCAGCACCTGGGACAGGAGTCCCAGAACTGCTCCACGCTGCCTCCTGGTGGCCTCACTTGAGTGGAGTGGGGGGGATACCCCGGGGGGCCACCCCTGAGTCCATTGCTGTGGCTGGAGGTGGGGGTGGGCGAGGGAGTGAAGGTAGAGGGGAATTGGGGGGTAGGTGAGGGTGATTGGGGGAGAGTGGGAAGGACCACGTGGCTTAGACCCTCCCCTCTTGCCCTTCTCTTCAGGCTGGGGGGGGGGGGTGCCGGGGAGCCAGCTTTATGTAAAGGAAGCCCTGAGTTGGTGGCTAATAGGTGTCTGTCACAGGGCCCAGCTGTCCCTGTCCCCCCAGGAAGAGACCATGGCAGAGCCTCCCAGGAGAAGGAGGGGGGGCAGAAATCCAGCAGGAGTTGGCACTTGTCAATGCCAACTCCCCATTAGAGGTGCCTTCCACCGACAGACTTTTTTTTTTTTTTTCCTAATTTATCCATTTATTCTGAGAGAGAGCGAGCAGAGGAGGGGCAGAGAGAGAGGAAAAGAGAGAGATGCCCAAGCAGGCTCTGCACCATCAGCACAGAGCCCAACTTGGGGCTCAGACTCACAGACTGTGAGATCATGACATGAGCTGAAACCAGAAGTCAGGCCCTCAGCCGACTGAGCCACCCAGGTGCCCCCAGTCAGACATTTTTGAGAAACCAGTCAGGCCACACAGGTTCAAGACCCCCTTAGAACAGGCAAAGGGCCTGGGAGGTGCTGGCTGTTCCCCAGCAGCGCAGAGGATGCGGGAACTTTAGCCTCCCGGTGCCCATTAGAACCTCCAGGGGAGGAGGGGGAGAGAGGGGTCCTTGGCCCACTCCCCGGCGGTGGGGGACCAGGGAGCACCCTCAGAGAATGGGACAAGTGACCCTCCCTGTCTCTGTGTCAGTGCAATGGGATGTCCAACCGCTTCTGGGGCTGGGGCCGCGAAGATGACGAGTTCTACCGGCGCATCAAAGGGGCCGGGCTGCAGGTAACGCTCGCCCCGGGGCTCCCCACCTCCTCAGCCATTGGGGCTGCCCCCGGTTCCCTGCCCTGCCCTCAGATGACATTCCTGGGGCTTGGGGATGACCTCCCCCAGTTCGGATCCCAGCCCGACCCCCCCATTGGGCACACCTCCTCTGCAGAATGGCAGTGCAGGCTCCTGCCTGTGGCCAATGGCCTGTGGCAGGCAGTGGGGCCCCAGAGGACTAGCGACAGGGACCAGGGGCGGCTCCGGGAGGGCGGCCTGACGCAACTTCCTTTGGCCTTCTTAGCTTTTCCGCCCCTCGGGAATCACAACTGGGTACAAGACATTTCGCCACCTGCATGACCCAGCCTGGCGGAAGAGGGACCAGAAGCGCATCGCAGCTCAAAAACAGGTGCTGGCTGGTCCCCAGACTGGGGATGGGCAGGTGGTGATGTGGGGAAGCAGCAGGCCGAGCGTGTCCCTGGGCTCTTCTCGGGCGGATGGCCCTGCCCTCCCCTGCCTGGCATTCTGTGCCAGTGGCTGTTACGGGCACCTGGCCACTGTGGGTAAGCTGAGACCTCGGGGTCCATGCAGGTGGGGGGCAGGGGAGGGCCTCAGCCCTCTGGCCAGCGTCCCTGGCTGACCTGTGACACAGGAACCACAGTCCCCACGCAACCTCTTCTTCAGGAGCCGCATTAGCCTACCCGAAGAATGTCCACCCTCTTGCTTGCTGGTGGGGCGCGGCGGTGGCCTCAGGGCCCTGAGCGCATGCCCTCTCCCCTTTCCTCCCCAGGAGCAATTCAAGGTGGACCGGGAGGGAGGCCTGAGTACCGTGAAGTACCGTGTGGACTCCCGAACAGCGCTGTCTGTGGGCGGGGCCCCGTGCACTGTTCTCAACATCCTGTTGGACTGTGACAAGGCTGCCACCCCCTGGTGCACGTTTGGCTGAGCCGGCTGCACAGTAAGGAAGCCTGTGCCCACAGGCCACACTGCTCGCTCAGGCTCTGGAGAAAGCCGCAGGCCACAGGCCCAACTCCCGAAGGATGCAGATGCGGGGTGGCCTGACGCGGCAGGTCAGAAGCCGCACATTTGCAGCAGCCCCGCCCCCGGAGGTGGGCTGGACCCTGGACAGGACACACAGGGGTGCCTGGGACGCTGCTAGCAACAAGCGTTGATGGAGAGAGGCTGCGTGTGGCTCTCCCCTGGGACTCTCCGCCCTCGCCTTCCTGCTCGCCCTGCTCTCCCCTTCTTAGCTGCCCAGACCTGAGGGCTTGTCGTCCCTTCCCCCGGACGGCCTCATGCCCAGGCCACTGACGTGGGTGGCCAGGACGATGCACAGGGCTAAACTGCAGGCTCCTGTGCAACCCACACAGGAAGGGAACGGCTGAGACCAGCTCTTGCTGCCTGTCACCACACAGGAGTGCGGGCCTGGGGTTGGCCAGCTCTTCTGAGTTCTCAAAAAGAAACTTGAATTCTGGATTCTTAAGTGAAATCGGTTAGTCTTTAAATGATAGCAGCTAATTGAAACTTCAGAAAAGTGTGGCAGGGCAAACCATGTGTCGCGGGCCACCAGTTTGTCACCTGGAGCTCAGGGGAAAGAGCTGGGGGAAAAGATGGCGACTCTTTTCCTTATAAGCGGTCAGGGGGGTGGGGCAGGGCTGGGGACACCAAGGCCAGGGGAGGCTCAGATGGGAGAGACCTCAAAGGCCAAGCTTCCTGCCGTCTCCCACAGGCTTCACTGCCCCTCCGGGCAGTCTGACCCCCTCAGGCTGTGGTGGGGTCCGACTCTGGGGTGGGGGCGGCTTCTTTCTGACCCATGGAGATGGACAGAAGTAGACCCTCGGGACCGTACTTGGGGTAGACAAAACGTGGTGGCAAGGACTTGGTCATAGCTTGAGGGTGGGAGGACCACGTTTCCGAGGCGAGAGGGAGGAGCAGGAGCATGGTGGAGTGTTCCCAGCGTGCGGGCATTTACCACTGTTCACACACTGTCCAGGAGAGGTGAAGGAGGGGAGCCGGGGGGCTAACGACACTGGGAGGTGAGGGGCCCTGCAAGGCAGATCGCTCCTTCGCAGCATGGACTGCCAAAGATTTGGGCCAGTGGTCAGAGGAGTCCATTGTTAAGAGCGGTCTGCTTAACAATAAATAGGGAGGAAGGGATTGAAGTCCCAGAGTTCAGGAGGGTGGATTCAACAGCTGTGCTCCAAAATGACTACCCCTCAGAGGGTAATCTCAGGGCTGCTGGGTGCAATTGTGTGGGTTGCACACTGCACCACCTGTGCAAAGCATAGTGGAGTACAGTGTATCTGTTCGGATGGACAACAGAGGGTCCTTATCCTCAGTTGCCCTTGCCCAGCAGTACAGCTTCCCTCAGTACAGTGAGAGGCAGATGGATTACTGACGGTGCAGGAGTGCTGGGAGGGGCTTTGTCAACCTGGAGGCCCAGGAGAGGGGAATGAAGTGCCCCCTGTGTGCCAGTCTCTGTACAACCCTGGCTGCATCATCTTGGACTTAACACAACATGGAGGCAGAACAGCAGTCTGTGTGGTGTTGGTGCGACTGGACGTGACCTCACAGCGCCCAGCTTGTAGCAAGACTTAAAAGGACGAGGAGCTCCCTCCTTGCCACCTGCATGGAGGGCAGAGAATGCACAGAGGAAAAGCAGGACCCACTGCCTGATCCTGGACTGGGGCGCAACTCCAACCACATGGTCCCCCAGCCACTGCCACCACCTTCAAGGAGCCTGTAGGCACCCAGCCCAGGCCTCCCCGGGGGTCGCTCCAAGAGAGCAGGAAGGGGCTGAGCAGTCCTGGCAAGGGTAAGAAGCAGAGCTCTGAAAATGCCCAAGCACTGTGGTTGTCTCTGTGGCTCCATGAAGAGGGCCTGGCACCCCCGTGTTGCTGGCCAGGGCGCAGGTGAGATCGGCCCCGGACGTAGCAGCACCTGCCCTAGCATCTGGCCCACATGGCGGCTGTACTAATAGCTTGCTGAGCGGTCACCATGTACAGAATCCTTTATGTTGCATTAGCTCGTGAGGCCCCCTCTAGCCAAGCCAGGTCCTATTTATTAACCTGTTTTACGGATGACAATCATGAGGCATAGACAGATAAGTAGCTTGCCAGGGTCAGAGAGGTGATACCTGGTGGGACTTGGGATCTGAACCCCAAGACCCTGGCTTCAGAGCCAGATTCCTTCATCCCTGGCCTGTAACAGCAGGTGCCAGTGCACAGAGGCTCCCTCCCTTCCAGACCTTCCCTCCTCCTCTTCTTGGCAGGGAGGCCTGACAGGGAGGGCTGGCCAACACGCTCCCGTGCCCCTCCTGCCTCTGGGACCAAGCAGAGCCTTGGGGGAGACACAGACGGTCTGCCTGTGCTGCCTCTGCCTGGGTACAATGGGAATTTGGCTGCTGGAGAGGTCCCTGGGGGATCTTTGGGATCCACAGCATGGCACTGTGTCTGAGGGGTGTACCTGGGGCTTGGGGAAGGCCTCCCCGAGGAGGCGGGACTTTCTAGGGGAGCTATATTGCAGTCGCGATGGGAAGGGTGCATCAGCAAGTGCAAGGCAGAGACACCAGGGACAGTGTGTCATGTTGAGGGGCTTGGAAGCAATTTGGGGTGTCCCTTGTACCCCAATACGGTATAGGAGTCAGAGGAGGCGGGTAGCAGAGGAAAGCTTAAGGTGACCGGTGAGGATCTGTGAAGGCCACATGGAACAACTTGTAGGCTATTCCACAGGCGCCGGGGCTCCAAGCAGGGGAGAGTCTGAGCGAGGAGACAATTATGGTGAGGTCTGCGTTACAGAAAGATCCTTGGGGACTGGTGCAGAGGCTTGGAGGATGGAGTCTGGACAGAGAGCTGAGGCTGAACAAGAGGTGATGAGTCCTTGGACGCCTAAAGGGCTCAGTCGGTTAAGTGTCCGACTCTTGATTTCAGCTCAGGTCATCATCTCACCTTTCATGAGTTTGAGTCGGGCTCTGCACTGACAGTGCAAAACCTGCTTGGGATTCTCTCTTTCTCTACTTTCTCTCTCTCTCAAAATAAACTTTAAAAAAAATTAAAATAGAAAGAGATGATGAAGCCAGACTGAGCCACCCTTCATGGAGGGCCTGCCTCCCCGCACACTCTTTCCCAAAAGGACAAATGGAGGTCCGCGGCCCCTTTTCGCTCAGCCTTCATGCCTCCAGGGCATTTTTTTAAAGGACAAACCAAAGGAAAAGCAACTTCACTTTCAGCTTCCGCCTGTAAAGGGTTTGGGGAGGTCCGTCACCCCCACCTTCACAACAGGAACAAACCTCAGCAACCAGAAAGCAACCACTTTTCTTGAACCCAGCAGAAAAGTGACGCTGGGTGGGGCGAAGTGCCACCCTCCGAGTCTGGAGAGACCGGCAAATAGAGCTGAGTTCGGCTAACCTAGAGCAAAGCTGCTGGGGCTGCAGACTGGCAGGAGTACTTCTGTTCTAACTTCGACAGATCGTTGGAGGCTGAGGTATGTGGCCAAGAGCAGAGGAAAGTCCCCTCGGTCTCTAGCAGAAGAAAGGAGAAAGTAGCCGTTTAAAAATATACCCGGGGGCGCCTGGGTGGCTCAGTCAGTTGGGCACCCGACTTCAGCTCAGGTCATGATCTCACACTTCAAGAGTTGGAACCCTGAATCAGACTCTGTGCTGACATCTTGGAGCCTGGAGCCTGCTTCAGATTCTGTGTCTCTCTCCCCCTCTGCCCCTCCCCTGCTCATGCTCTCTCTCTCTCAAAAAAATAATTGACATTTTAAAAAATGTTAAATATACCCAGAGCAGTCTCCCTGATGAAAGTCTGCTCTCCGGAGCCTGTTTCCCTCCCCGAAGGGTGGGACTAAGACAGTTACCCAACTTCGTTTCCTGCTAGCTTTTCTGCCTTACCCAAGGAAGAGGGGACAAAGCTGAGACACCTGTGAACGTCACAGCCCAGGGACACAGACTCACCACAATACTGAGACTTCATCATAAAATTATAAAATGCTTCTCCTTCCCTAAACTCTTTGCCACCAAGTCAACAGGGCTCTAGTGTGACAATAGCAAGTCACAGCTGAAAGAGCTTCAGGGCACAGACTGTTTTTAGAAAGTTCTTGGAGAGGGGCACCTGGGTGGCTCAGGTGGTTGAGTCTCCGACTTACGATTTTGGCTCAGGTCATGATCCCAAGGTCATAGGATCGAGCCCCGAATCACGCTCAGCGTGGAGTGTGCTTAAGATTCTCTCTCCCTCTGCCCCTCTCCCTTACTCTCCCTCTCTCAAATAAAAAATAGGGACACATGGGTGGCTCAGTGTTCGACTTCGGCTCAGGTCATGATTTCATGGTTCATGAGTTCGAGCCCCATGTCAGGCTCTGTGCTGACAGCTCAGAGCCTGGAGCCTGCTTCAGACCCTCTGTCTCCCTCTCTCTCTGCCCCTGCCCCACTTGTGCTCTTTCTCTTCCTCTCTCAAAAAGAAACATGTTTTAAAAATCTTTAAAAATAATAATGAAACTAAATTAAATTTAAAAAGTTTTAAGTAATATTAAAAATTTTTTTAAAGATAAAAATCTCTTGGAGAAAGTCAAGGACAGCAGAGGAGAAACAAGGACACTAGAAGAACTTAAAGCACCCAACACTTCAGTCAACATCAAAGCCGTCCAACTCCTAGCCAGACTACGTCCAACCTCACACTAAAGGTCTGTGTCAGTCCCTTTATCCAATACATCATGCGTTTCAAAAGCCATGCTAAAAGGTAAGAAAGAAAAAAACAAGAGCCTGAAGAGAAGAGCAAGAATGAGAACCAAACTCAGATACAACACAGAGTTTGGAATCATCAGAGAGGACATTTAAAATAACTATGACTTGTATGTGAAAGGCTTGGTATATTGTGATTTATCAGATATAAATATACATTGTGGGGGCACCTGGGCGGCTCAGTGAGTTAAGCGTCCTTCTTCGGCTCAGGTCGTGATCTCATGGTTGGAGGGTTTGAGTCCTACGTCGGGCTCTGTGCTGACAGCTCAGAGCCTGGAGTCTGCTCCAGATTCTGTGTCTCTGTCTCTCTCTGCCCCTCCCCTGCTTGTGCTCTGTCTCTCTCTCTCTCTCAAAAATGAGTAAACATTTAAAAACATGTTTTTAATGCATTACCTGCTTTGCAACTAGGCTTTGAGTATGATGAACGCTGCATAGAGCACCCATGTCAATGTCGGCATGTGGTAACACTCAATAAACAGTAGCTATAGCCGCTATTAAGCCTGTTTATATGCATCCTCTATGCGGCTAGTTTAATAAGTAGAACACCATAAGCTAGATATTAGAAATAAAGGCATTATTAAATCTGTATTTCCTTTCTTCCTAAATTAGACATTATTAGAAAAACCGAGACTAGGGGCGCCTAGGTGGCTCAGTCGGTTAATCGTCCGACTTCAGCTCAGGTCATGATCTCACGGTTCATGGGTTCGAGCCCCACCTCAGGCTCTGTGCTGACAGCTAGTTCAGAGCCTGCG